GGCCTGTCCCCTTACAGGGGGATTTTGGGCGAAACGAAAAAAATAGACCCCACAAGCATTCCAAAATGGTCAAAAAATACTCCAAAAATAATCGCCAGACTATGTTTGGACTAATTTTTGAATATCCTCCCTGTAGAGGGACAGGCCCGACTTAATCGTAGCCTCGTGCGCGCGCCGGCCTGCGAAGGCGGCCGGGGGCGGCCATCGGAGGCTCGTTGCCCCTGCGGTCTGGGTCTGGGTCTGGGGCTGCGGCCCGCAGGCCAGGGGGGGCTTAAGCACGAGGGGACCACAAGCTCTGTCGCCAGCCGGACGGAGGGAATTTTGGATTGGCTCCTCGCTGAAGCATACGGCTTGTCGAGACTGGGTGGCGCTGCAGCTAGCAGAATATTAGTCCGACTAAACACTTCTGCACGGGTACCAAGGACGCAAGAACAGTAGTTGGACGGAGGGAGGGAGGGAGGGAACGCATGGATGGCGAGGCAAGGGGGGGGGGAGGGGGTGGCGCAGGCGGGCAGGAAGGACCCTTAGATCCGGGCGCTGATTCTCTGTACGCTGGGCGTTCTCGCCCAGATTCGGGCCCCGTGAGCAGCACAGATCGACCTGGCTCGAAAAATGCCGCGGGAAGATGGGGTCTAGGGTCTAGGGCACTGGTCGCGATGTTTCGCGATGTGGCATTCCTTTCGAAAACGTCGGATCTCGGGGGTGGCGCAGACAGGCAGGAGGGAGGCAGGCCCGAGCTGGCTCGGATCGCGAAACTCCGGCATCCGCAGATATGATCTGTTCCGTACGCAACCCCCCGAGGTCGCCACCCCTCCCCGGGGGCCAGCTTTCCCCCCGGAGCCGTTTTTGGCTGCCCCAGGGCCCCAGGAGGAGGAGGAGGAGGAGGAGGAGGAGGAGGAGGAGGAGGAGGAGGAGGAGGAGGAGAAGGAGGCGGCGGAGGAGGAGGAGGAGGAGCGAGGAGCGAGGAGCGAGGAGGAGGAGGCCCAGCGGCGGTGCGAGTCGCCCGCGCCCATCGGCAGAACAGTGTAACAGAACCCGTCGGCAAAAACCTGGGAAAAAAGCCGGCTGACAAAAAACACATCGCCAAAGACCCAGACTCTCCGGGGGCGCGGCCTGGCCGCAAGCCCCGGGGCGAGCGCGGCCGCGGCGGCGAAGGCCTCCTGCCCACCAGGCAGCGAAAGCGAGGCAGGGGCAGCGGTTCTTCGGACGCACAGAGACCTACGAATACGATCCTCCCGGGAGGCGCGCGGCCGGCCCGAGCATGTAGTACACCCATCCTGTAGTACAGTCGGGGCCTTGACCTAAGGAACCCAAAATAAGGAACGGGGCCCCTATTTTCCATAAGTTAAACTTCGATTCCGATCGAAAACGTAAGGAAACCCTGAGGCAAGCTGTGAAACACTCAAGGAACGCGGAGCCCCTCCCCAACGAAAAGGGTTCCTTCTTCAGGACCCCGACGGTATCTCGTTTCCCGAGCGGTGCGGCCAGCAAGCGCCCACCGCGACGCGTATGCCATGAGATTTCTCGGCGCGCGCGTCGCCCCCGTGGGGGGCGACGAACAGATGGTACTAGGGAACCGAACTCTCTACACCAACGCTTTTTCCGGCCCTGCGCTGAAACTCTCACAAGAAAGCGGATCCTGGTGTGTTTGGGGTCCTGGTGTATACACTTGTCGTTGTTTACCTGGGGACATGGCGAATATATATATATATATATATATACACAGAACTGCAGTGGCGCTTCGCGCCATGCACCTTGGTCCTTGAAGTTTGGTATGCAGGCGGAATGGCAGGAAAGTCAAGCCGACAATTTAGCGATAACTCCTGGTTGCCTTTTTCCGGCATCGCCGCTATAATGATGTTTTTCGTTATCCTTCCTCCATGGTTATTGTTCCTTATTTTCGCCATACCCTGCGCATTCTCCCCATCCTCCTCAGCTCTTTTTTGCGGAGGCTCCTCCTTGGAGAGCCTCTAGGGGCCTCACAAAAGTTGTTTCGGGCTTTTTTAAGGCCTTCTGGAGGCCTCCTAGGCGTATTCTGGGGGCCTCCGGGGGCTTCCTCGGGCCACCCTGCCTCCAACCGCCGTCTCCCTGAACGACCGAATCACGATTTGGAATTCTTCGGAGGGTGTCTTTGGGCCATCTTGGGCCGCCATGGGGCTCGCTGAGGGCCATCTTGGACCCGTGTTGTGCCGTCTTGGGGCTTTCTTGGACTGCCTGGAAGCCCTTTCGGATGGTTGTGGGGCGATTTGGGAACCTCCCAGGCGGCTTCGGACGCCCAGAAGACCGCCGTCTT